GAATTAATAATAATCATTTGGACTGGTCAATAAATACTAATGAATTTCACTTCCTTGTATCTAACTGAATAATAAAGGTACATAATTACATGAAATATGGTATTTAGAAATACAAATTGTTAATGTTGGAATCTATTTTTAACAACTTTATTGCATATTTACAGACTTAACTAATTCAAGTTTCAATTTAAGGGTAAATTGAAAATGACCTTTTCAAAAATGATCATGAAAATATACAAACCGAAAGTACATTTGCAAGAATAATTTCTTTAATGAAATTCTAAATATAATTACCGTTGTACTCACTTAGAAAACTTGTCTCACATTGCAATTGGTAGAATAACAGAAGTCATTCGTCAGTTCTTTTTTCATCACGTCTTCATGGTGTCCGCCCAAACCTGTCTTCTCCACAGTTCAGGGTTTCTGATCGCCCTGAAATTAGAGTTATCGCTCTTGCAGCGATTATAAGGTTAAAAGAACTTTTATCACCCCCCCCCCCCTTTTTTTTAACCTTAAGCGAAATGCCTTTGGTTGACACGGTTCAAAGTCTGAAGATCATCAAATTCACGCTGCTTAGCTTTATCCATTACAAAAATCTATGATAATCTTTAATTCTGTGTGGTTACACTACAGTATAAGTTTAATCTCTCTGATTGGCTCGTCTAGCAACATTCATTACATTGTAAAAAAGAAAAATAAATAGAATTACCTTCAAGTGCGTTAAGAGTGTACATCAACATTTTTACCATAGGGAAAATTTAACGCACTTTGGAAAAAAAAACATGTATTAAACAAAATTTCTAGACTTCGATTTTAGTACATGTAATTGAGAGAATTAATTTGTAATAATTATATCTTCCGAAAACTCTTAATTAACGTGATTTAACCTTATTGAGAACAAAGAGAAGACGAGTAGAACGTCTCTCAGCCCAACTCTTTTTTACATAGCCATGGATAGCAAATTGAACCCCCCCCCCCTCCGAAAGTAATCCCCAATTTTCAATGTCTTTATTATGTAACAATATCTTTGTAAAACATTCGTGTGCCTAAGCACCCTTCCAGGTACCTGATGCCAATGCTACATCAAAATATGTATTTGCATAACTACTATGACGCTGAAAACTTTCGATAAATTTTAGTTTACACAAAATGCATGCAAATTGGAAAAACTTAAGTACAGTTTTAAACATTTCAGAGAGAAAGAAATTTCAAAGTATGGAAAAAATCGCTCACTTTCACATCCTGAAGTGACCTTATCACCGAAAAGCTATCCAACAGGTTCAATTATTCATCATATCCAAGATTTGCAAGAATATCGACTATACACTTTTTTCAAAGTACGTTAATATACATGCGCAGATCTAGAGGGGGGCGGGGAGGGGGGTCTAGAATTTGCAGAGATATTAAATTGATACACTAAACCAAGAAAAAGGTTACTCTTTTGGCTTGTCAACAAAATTCTGAGGTTGGATTTTTTTTTAATAGGGACAAGTTGTCATGTTGTAAATTTTGTATTTACTGCCACCCGGTAAATTCAAAATTTACAACATGACACTGGGTTGGACCCCCCTGGAAAAAAATTCTGGATCCGCGCCTGAATATATAATATGGTCGATTATAACGCACTTTGAAAAGAAGTTTTACTTTTTCAAAGTGCGTTGAATTGGTCCCAAATTTAACGCACTTTGATTTTTTTCTCAAAGTGAGTAATTTTTCAAAGTGCGTTGTAAAACTGCAGCCCATATGTCAGCGCCAAATTCAGGTTAATTTTGTAAAAGCATTTAGTTAACATACCGTATATCCGTTTTTTTTTCGCGATGATCTATTTTTCGCATTATTTGCAACCATTGTTAATTCGCCAAATTTAAAACACGCAAAAATTATATCAGCTATAATATGACATAAAAACATTACCATTTTGAACAAAAAATCCTTAATCGTAAAAATTAACTTACTCAAAATAAAAACTCTACAAATCTACCCTTTTTCGCAAAATTTCCAACACGCGAAAAAAACGGATATACGGTACATTTTATTAGGATATCTATATGCATTGAAATTACTCAGCCTCAGACTCAGAGAAAATTTATTTGTTTTTTGATTAATGATGCCCACACAAAACTGTCTATTTTTGCAGTTGAATTTCAGTATCTTGAACACCGACATGGATATGTGGAATTCAGTAATGTAGGAATTCCATCCACTCTTTAGCTCACCTGAGGTGAAGCCTTGGGTGAGTTTTTCTTATCACATTTTATCCGTCCGTCTGTCTAGCTGTCTGTCCGTCCGTCTGTAAACTTTTCACATTTTTGACTTCTTCTCAAGAACCACTGGGTCAAATTAAATCAATCTTAGCTGAAAGCATCATTGGGTGAAGGGAGGTTTAAATTGTTAATGGGAAGGGCCAAGTCCATCACAAGGGGAGATAATCAAGAAAAGACAAAAATAGGGTGGGGTCATTATATTGCTCTACACCACATGTTGTATTCTGTCTATTACTTTAATATTATGTTTATATGTAATTATATATGTTATATGTTTATGCCCAATGGGCCTTGATTGGTAATAAATTCTATTCTATTCTATTCTATAAAAAAAATCTTCTCAAGGACCACTGGGCCAGAAAAGCTGAAACTTATGTGGAAGCATCCTGGTGTAGTGTAGATTCTAAATTATCCAAATTATGACCAGTTGGATTACAATATGTATTGCTAGGGGGAAATCTGGCAAAGAACACAATAGTCAAAGCTACTCAGGTAAGAGTTTTGTCCTATGGGCCTCTTGTCAAAAGTATTTAACTCTTGATACCTTGAACTCTCTGATATCTTAAAGGTTTTTTTTTCAGCCCCACCTTGTTCGAGATAATGAAGTTTAACTAGATTATACATAGAGACATGTTGGAGACACAATGGAAACTGGAAAGATATTCTCAATTCATAGTATGTTGATCATAAGTGATAACATGGACCAAATCAGCAAGGATTAACATGGATATGCTGTGTTTTCTTACGCAGGGTTTGTTCACTCAATCTTGCGTAAAACCCTTGATCCCCAAAACTCTGGACATATTGTATACTTCCTTATCATCAAGTAATGTCTTTCATAGGATATATATGACTGATCCCTACATGATGTTCACACGCAGAGTACTTTCATCTACAATAACTGTACGTACTTAATTTATTGACCCTATTCCAAAATTAATTACCTATCTGGAAATTGACCACAAATGATCCAGGATCACATAACATTTACAACCCTCTTACTCCTCTTTTCCTCTCTCAAATTATTGTTGAATCATCAATGATTGTGGGGAACCAATTTTTATTGGATTTTGTTGATTATCCCTATCCAGGAGACAGTATACATATCCATGAAGAACTATTTGTTAATATGTTTTTTCATTAAACTTCTGTAAATATCCCTGAAATAACACCCCCATGGACAATAAAATGTTGCTTACCCTGACAAACATTGATCCCCATGTCAAATTAAATGATTTCAAAGTACCTCTGGAGAGTTTAGTGTATAACAAAGAATTTTCCTCGTAATGATTTTACATGATAATTTTTAAGGAGCTTCTAATGACACCATACAAAATAATGACACCATACAAAATAATGACACCATACAAGACATACCCCGGTATGACACCATACAATGTATGAAAATATCCCATGACCTAATGACAAAATTTCCCAAGATCTCAAGACACCATGCAACATATCCATGATGTTGATACACCATACAAAATGTCCCATTTCTCATGACATCATAGACAACATGAGGACTTGATCCATACATCAAGGGTTCAAATCCCACTGTGGGATGTGGAGACCAGTCCTTCAGATGATACCATTTAAACCAAGGTCCCATGTCGCAGGAAATGCTGGGCAAAAAAGATCCCTTGCTGCTCAATGGCCATGAGTGCTGAGCAAAATTTGCAGCTCTCTATGAGTGAAAATTTCTCAAGAGAGACAATAAATAACAAACTAACATGACACCTTTCCCATTTTCCACTTTTTCACTAGAGGATGAGAGATCTGCAGAGTTTGTAAAGGATGTTGTATGAAGTCAGTGTTTGACATGGACCATTATAGGCTTAAATTATTGTTTTTTTCTCAGTTCTGAATTATGGTCCTGTCAATCTAGCTAAACCGTGGCTCAATCTCAAACCTATTGCAACAGAAATTATTTGGTGGTTAACAAATTTTAATATATTTAAAATAAAGAAGTAAATAGTAAGTATAAACATGATAAAGAAGTAAGTAGTTGAGAGAAATATAATGAGGGGAAAGTATAAATAACTGTATAAAAGGTGTATAACTCTGTAATTTCATCCAAATTCTAAAGGTAAGTTTATTTTACAATTTTTGTTGCAAATTTGTTTGAAGTTAAATAATGAATTGATCAAACTATCGGTATTACAGGAAGATGATTCACTTTTATTTTCCTTGAAATTTGTTTTTTTTAAATCTTTTGACAAAAGCATTATAAATTGGAAAATAAAGTTTTTGAGAATTTTTCTGTATTTTTACAAAAATGTACACAAAATTTTACAGGTATTGTTTAATGTCATAATCATTATAAAAGTCCCTAATTATTCAGGACACAGATCTATTTCATGTAAGCTGCCAATAACATACAGTCAAAAACAAGATAGGCATCATTAATCATAAAATGAAAAATAAATAAATCCAAAAAATAATACATGTATTGAAATGGTGCTTCACAATGGTTTAACATTAAATACTGGTCCCCTTTTAGAGCCCTGTGGAGTAACACTGCTCTGTTTCTTGTTGTGTGTAGTTTTAGTAATGGGAATGACTCTCAGATAATTAGTAGCCTTCTCAACCTTTGTCTTTTCAGGGTTCGACACAATCGGAACAACCCGGATAGGATTAAATTTCCCATTGACCTTTGCTGTCTCTTTACTCTGACCATTAGAATTTTTCACACCACAGCATGTACTCTTGTTTTCTTTTGAAGGATATTCAGATTTATTTTCCATGCCTGATTTCTGGTATGTCTGTGTCCAGTACATACATTAAAAAGTTTTTTAACGAATGTTTTTTCCCTTGTGGCGAATTTTCCCTTTCTATCTCCTTTTCCCCTTGTTCTCTTACACACTCCATATTGGAAGATGCTTCATGTCTTTCATATTCTTGTACATGCTCAGAGGATGTTTCAGATCTTCTTTCACTTTCACTTCTCCAACTGAACTTAACTTTAAGTTTTTCCACCTTATTTTTCTTAGGATTTGTAATATCTTTACGAGATGAATTCTTAGAGTTTTCTCCCTTTGAATTTTCCTTATCGGAAGTTTGTCCTACATTTTGCCCACATGCTGTAGGCACACATTTATCCTCTGGTCCAGATTTTTTATCATCACCTCCTTTGTTGTTGAGAATTTTCTTCTTCTTTGTCTTCTCTTCAGAAAAATCCTCCATTGAATCATCAAAATGGACTCCTCTCTTTAAGCTCTGTAGAGATCTCTTCCTTTTTAAGGCAAGCGGTTTCTTGTTCAGCGGTCTGGAGGGAGGTAGAGTTCGATTCCCAAACATCCATCTCTTGACACTGTCAGGAATTTCAGGATTTTTCTTTCTTGGACTGCTGAGATAAGGTTTGAAAACTGAGACATCTGCCCGATCTGAAATGCTTATTCCAAAAGGACCTCGGGTCATGTCATTAATTATAGGATAAACAGACCTTGGTTTGACAAGCTTAATAAAGTCGGTGAGCTCATCAAATGAGCTGTGATCAGAATAGGGAACAATGAACACATTGTCCTGGTTACAGAAAGGACTCATCTCTAATCCTGTGTAGAGGGAGGTAGGAAGAATAGCTATTGTAGGATGTTCCTTGTTCCACCTCTCAATATTTTTGTTGGAGATGGAGTAAAAGGGAACAACTTCAATTCTTGCATCCGTTTCTCCTGTGATAAAAACATCTGGAAGATCTAAGATTTCCGCCACCTGGAAGAAGGCAGGGCTGACTTTGATCCACTCCTGAAGATCTTGAGCAATTGTTACTAAGAGATCTTCCTTTCCTAAGTTTCTCAATCCAATCTTTACACTGAACTCTTCATGGCTATGAATAATTTCTAAAATTATCCTCTGGCTTTCTTCTCGGGATGGAAACACACATCTTGGAGAGTTATAAGTATTGTCTAAGTATACAACATCTGTACCAGACAAGTTTTCTATCAGTGGATCATCTTTCATGTTTGAGTCAAAACGAAAATCCCCTGAGTATAAAACTTTACCGAAATATCCCTCAAAGAGGAACATGACACTGCCAGGACAATGGTGAGCATCTATTACAGTCACGGTCATCTGCTCAATTTGATCTGTGTCAATGTACATGATGTGACTGCATCCCGTCTCTAACGGACAGACCTGGGAGGGGTCGATCTCGTACTGCTCCTCCAGTAAATTCCCTATGATTTCCGAGCAGTATATTTTGTGTTGCCATGAGGATGAAAGTCCCACGGTGTGATCTCCATGGAGATGGGTCAGGAAAAACAGTCTGGCGTTGGGACATTCCCTTATTTTCCAGAAGTCTACAGCAATAGGAGTTCCAGGTATCACCTTCCCATTCATTGTTCACTAGGTTTTAGGATTCTTTTTACTAATATAGGCCTCATGATACACCACTAACAGCAGAACAAATCAGGTTCTAAAATGACAAAATAAATTAACTGTCAAGAATAATGGTTTGATGGTTCAACTCATATTTATCTTTGGTTAAGGAACAGAATGATTATGTATTTTCCATTAAATAAGTTCTGAATATTCAACATGCATTACAGCGAACAGACTCAGCACTGCACAGTTTTAAAGCAGATGTTAATTATGAAAAACATCAAATTCAATTGAACTCTTTACATTTTATCAAACAATATTCAGATTTTTGTTTTAAGGTTTGCACTAGCTTATTTTCTTTTTTGTCAGTCCAGGAATCTATTACACTAAGCAATGTAGAGGTGTCTGGTCAGTCTGAATGAATATTAAATTCTTTTCAACAATACCTGAAAACTTAAAAAACTTTACACTCTCGCCTTTACTGCATAGATGCAAGAGTGCGAAGATGACAAAGAAAAAGTGAGAATGTGCCAAGGCAATGTGCAAAGATGCAAAGGAAAAAGAGCAATACAACTAGTATCATTCTACCACACTTTGCACTTTCACCTTAATGCACACTTTAATTTTGTAGAACTATTTAACTTTATGAGTTAATTCTAGTGGACTAACTCAATTCATGTGTCCTAATTCATTAATTTAATGCACTCCTGCCTTCCCATCTTTGCACTATTACCTTTATCTTTTTTGCACCAGTAATTTTTTTTTCCCTCAGATGTTATTGGTATGCATGACCTAGATAAGTGTGACGACAAAAATGGATGGAAAGTCTAAGAAATGGTTTATCAGGTAAATTAATTGTACAATGATTGACCTATTAAATAATGAATCTATACATATACAGGGCCTGTATATATTTATGAAACAAAAAATACTGTAATTGCATGATCACTAGACACTCCAATTTTCATCATCTGAAGATGCTCGATCCAAATTTATCACTATCAAGTAGATTATCTTCAAAGAATATGCATGGAGTACCACTATAAAAAGACACTTTTTACACTCCTTCATTTTCACACTGTCACCTTCAAATCTTTGCACTTTGCCTTCGCAACTCATTACTTTTGCTCATTCACCTGTGCAAATTCAAACTCTTGCAACTTTGTCATAAAGGTGAAAGTGCCAAGGTGCGATTGGGGGGGGGGGGTGCATCAATTTACCCAAATGGACCCAAATGGAACCCAAATGGACCCAAATGGAAACTCAAATGGACCCAAATGGAAATCAAATGGACCCAAATGGAATATAAAATATATATAAAATATATACATTTTATCAATTATTAAGTTTTTACTTATTTAAAATATAAAAAAATAATGAAATTAAAACAAAAAGAGAATATTTTAAGATCATTATTTTTTCCAATGTATTTTTGTACTATTGAACATAACTGAATACAAAACTGAAGTATTTCATAGTTTCTTTGGCCGTAGGAACGCGGGGGGGGGGGGGGGGGTATGCCACCCCTCCCCCTGCTCTTACCCTCCAAAAATTTGGCCGGTATAATATACAATATTAGAGATTAATAATAAAAAAAAATTCATTTGTAACTATAATTTCATTTATTTTCATCATTTTGAGTAAGTATTTAAATACGATAATTCATATTTAATAGTCCATTTGTGTTTCCATTTGGGTCCATTTGTTTCCATTTGGGTTCCATTTGGGTCCACTTGGGTAAATCGACGCGCCGCAATGGGGCACCATAGATTAACTTGTGTATACCAAGCTTAAAAAACAAATCTTGCAGATTTAAAATTCAGGGGGTCGTAACATAAAGACTACTTAAGTCTTAGACCGTGCTTAAGTAGGACTTAAGTACAGTCTAAAACTTAAGACCGTAACTAGAAGCGTACTTAGATTTGGCAATCTTAGCAAAACTTAGGCGGCCGGTAGAGGTGACTTAAGTATATCTTAACTTTCTTGTACATATATTTAGAATAATTTAATAAATAATTTCGATGTTTAAAGTTTCCTCTATTCATATTATGCATTAAAGAAAATAATAATCTATATTTGACGCTGATTTAAGAATTTTATTTTTTCGTTGGGGTGGGGGGGTGGGGGGTGGTGGTGATCACTGATCCCGGTTTCACTCACAGCACAGCACAGCGCTAGCATACATGTAAATACAAAATTTAGTTTTAGGGATACGTCTGAAATTAGTAGGACTTCGGTTTTAGAAATATCCCGAGTTTTGTTTTGTATCCTTGATTATAAGTATATCATTAAACTTCTGCATTTTTTGCTTCTGACATACATGGCATTATACAAACCGGGGATTCAAAATGTATCGAACTTTTTAGAGTTTCAATTTCAAGTGAATGGGCGGTCGATTATCTTTTCTTGTCTGCGATAATAACAGGGTAAGTGAACATTTATCAAAACAAAAGAGTTACAAGAGGTAAACTGAAAACACCTCAGGTGATAAAACAATTGTCGTGAACATTTACAATGAAGCACAATTCGCCACTTTCTGACCGTGCAGTATTTGTTTTCAAACATTCCGAATAGTTTATAACATATTTATAATTTTAATAAGAAATCTAATCTAACATAACTTATACCGACAGGTAAGGACGTCAACTTTAATATGTAATTAATTAAAACCCTAACTGAATCACACTTAGCAATATATCTATATAAAATCAAAAACTATAGGTTGACTCATGTGAAATATTTTTAACATAAGTCTGACTTAGCTAGGACCTCGCTAAGTTCGTTTTATGTTACGGTTTAAGACGTACTTAAGTAGTACTTAGACAGGTCCTAAGACTGTGCCTATACCGTACTTACGACCCTACTTAAGTCAAAAACTTAGCAAGCTTTATGTTACGAGCCCCAGATCGATGGTATAAATGACAAATGTCCAAGATTAATAAGAACACACAAACAAAGAATTTGTCATATTGTACTCCTGCATTTGAACTTTTCTGGAGGAAAACTAAAAAAAGACATATACCTAAATATTCCTAGAAGTGTGCAAAAGATTTTGCACAATCTTTTTTTAAGCCATATTGTTGGAATAAGTTGTACGTCCCGCAAGTAATACCAAATTGCAGCAAAACACTTTTTTGTTTTCAAACAAAATCACATCGGAAACAAAAGCTTCACGGTAAAATACAAAACCGTAACGAGCAACTTTCGACATAATAGTTTTTAAAACGTTTTATCGGTCGAGTTTGAATGATTTGCTCAGAAGAAACATTTTTACATTGAGATCTCCCATTGCAGCGAATAATATTTACAATGTGATTGATTTGACAGAAAAGTCGGAAAACTACTAGGCCTATCAAAAGGTAGACACATTTTTGGTCATTAAACTATTCGAATATCTATAGATAATTTACAGATAATTTATTTAACCTTTTCGCTGCCGTACAGATTTGGAACTCAAATATTATAACGTTCAGTGCCGTGACAGTTCAACAGTGTACACTGCATTTGTATATATTTAATCGTATAGCATTTTCTGCAAAAAGGGAGAAGGCAAAAAAGTTGTTATACCTTTACCTACTCTGTTTGTGACGTCACAGTAACGTAACGTCATAGATTTAACGTAATAAGAATTTTCACGAATAGTGTAGCGGCTTAGATAAAAATTTCAGCAAAATAGTTCACTTGTGGATACAAGCATGAAATTTGGCACAGATGTCTATCTGATACTACTTAATCTAAAAACATCGTTGGCCACCGCGATTTCCGCCATTTTCAAGATGGCCGCCACTAAAACAAAATGGCGACATTTTCATGCAGTTTGGCCTCACAAACATTCTTTTACAACCAAATTAATTATACTTTGGCCGCTTAAAGATATCTTAAAAGTTTAAAAAGACTATAAAAATCATATTCCAACTTGAACGCTATAAATATAAAGACAAACTGATTTTCTTATAACGCATTACATCGCTCCCTATTGTAGAATTTAAATTCTCAATAAATCAAAAAAATCCTTCAGAGAACGTAAAATCTCATTGAGTGAAATATTCTTTCAAGCAACGTTTAATTTTAATAGCGAGCGCAGTGAGGCGGCGCGAAGCGCCGCTCGCGTATCGAGCTCAATAGTCTAACGTGTACGAACGGAGGAAATTCGGGTTGAAATCTGCACATTGTTCCAAGAAATTTTTAT